TTACCCTATTATATATAGTACCAGTCTGTTATTACCCTATTATATGTAGTATCAGTCTGTTTTCCTTGAACACGTAGCACCAGTCAGCCATTCTATTGTACTGTATCGGTAACCATTAGAAGAAGTGTAAACACCTGAAGGCTCAAAATGATTCTTATTCTCCTGCTGCAAATGGTCCAATACTTTTCGTTGCATCATTGATATACGCCTCTCGCTCACTAGTATTATTTTTTAAATGTGTTTTTAATTACATTAACATACATTTACAGCCTTTTTTCATTTAATGGCGGTGTTGTGTAAGCATTTCGTTTTACTTTTCCCTCGAGTTGTCCCGTATGCAGCTAGATAAACACGTTTAAGATAACTAACGCATAAGTTCCTGCACATGTATCAAGGTTTTATGGTACCTATTATTACATGTACTGTAGTATGACCATAGTGGTTAATTACAAGTCTTACAACTCATATGTCTGTACCTACCGTTCTATGGCTACAGCAGTCAGCGTAAAGATACTAGCTTGAACGTTGACCGTCTGAAGATAGGTGGACATCTTGCACATGACCTCGCCCAGTGTCCACTCGTTATGGACGTAGTAACCAAGCTGTATGGGCATATTCCACCCGGCGATCAACGTGTCGCTGATAGTTAAAGATACCAGAAATACATTGGTAACCGTCCTCATCTGCTTGTTTCCGAGGATGACGATAATGACAAGAAGATTACCTATGACAGCACCGGTCATAATAACACTGTAGATGACGATGAGGAATGTCTTCAATTCATAAGACAAAGGTTCCGGTAGAAAAAAATCCGGGCTTGTCAAATATCGGTGATCGTAGTCGTATTTTAACGATTCGTTCAGAGCAGACAAATTTACTGGTAGAGTGGAATTATCCATACTTAATTCTTAAACTAACGTGATAATCCGTAATAACAAATGTTCCAATATCGGAATGCTGTGTTCTGATCCCAGTTGTTAGTTTAAGTGTGGTTCTGGTACAGTTTACAGATAGATTAACCAGATGTCATACATTAATCTGTGTGTTTATACGTAAAATATCTGCCCCTTAGTTAATGTAACCTACGCCGTATATCAAAAACTCCACAAAGAAGACTCAACGTCACTACATGTGCTTTCAGTGGCAGATAATAGACATGGACAGGAATAACTAGAACGTAAATAAAAGCGATGTCCCATGCGATTTCAATCTCTTCCCATATAGTGTTTATAGTTACCTACCAGTTTAAACAGAGTAAGCCGTGGCGATGTTAGTGAGACTAAACATCCCTCTATCTAAGTTAAACCTGCTACGTCATCAGGTACATATCCAGAGGAACACCAATTGACGGGCACCTGCTGCTGCTGCTGACCAACGCTGTTATCTCCATCATTCATTGTTTATAGAATCAATTAAGACAAATGATAATCTCACAGCACAGGCCATCAGTCGTCACGACTTCAATAAAACAAGTTAATGATGTAGCCTTATCTGTTCAAGTTATGAACGCTTGACGTCCCGAGAGGACCGGTGCGTGTGTATTGATATCTATAATGAAATCTGGACGCACGTTTCGAAAGAAACATAATAAATCACATTATGATTGTCCTGATTGAAATCTGCCGAAGTAAAACACAAGCAAAAAGAGGGTCGGAGAAAAGAAAGACAGACATCTGGATAAGTTGTATAAACATTTTCACATTTAATGGGAATGTTCATACATACAATTTATGATAGAATATTGTGAACACGTTTAAAAATGTATATAGCTTTGATAAAGAATGACTTATAACAAGTATGGAAAGTTTATAACTGTATGATAGATATTTGCAAGAAAAATGCTGTTTGTTATTAAACTGCTGAATGCTGAAATGCCAAAATGAAACTACCACTATATATTGCAGCTTGGTCCACTTAAGGATATTGGAACTCTTATTTTCAAAACCATAACACCTGGCTCGGACATCCGTTGTTGTTGTTGCTGTTGTTGTTGGCAATAACTTTGGACATTTCAGATGAGTGAGATATTGTTTAGTATTTGTAGCTTTCAGCTCCTCCGCGACCGAACCCTGCATAAGAGTACATACAATTTGTTATTTTGTCAAAATTTTATAAAACATTGAACATAAAAATAGCTTGAACCTTAGAATACTGAAATAACTTGGTGTACATGTTACGCTGAACTTTCAAAGAAAAGATGAATGACGATTTGTTGATTATTAGAAAATGTTAAATCCTTTGATAATTGTACAATTATAACATGAAAGGAACGTCAACACTAAAACTTTTGTAATGCCTGTTGCTAAATACATTCTTGGCGTGCAATTTTTAGCAGGAAACTTTATCTCGATTTTCTATAATTTGCACGTACCTCCGGGGCCAAACAAGGCGGAGTAACACGGTTTATGGCAGTATGGCTTTCCTTCATGCTGTTCAAGAAACATGAATTGCATTTCGTCAGACATTTTAAAGGTATATGGCAACACATTTTTTTATTAAAAAAACGATATAGTATGAATTGATAATACTTTATAAATACAATCGATAGAATATTCAGATTTTTCTTAGCAATAACGTGTATGCGTTTCGCCAAATTTTCAACACGTGTTATTAATAGGGTCGATGAATATGAAGGCTGAAAGAAACATTTTCAATGGTTAAAAAATTCCACGACAATTTCTTGACATCGTGCTTATATATTGCGAAATGATTTCTTCCAAATGGGGCATTATATGAGTGTTTTGGTAAAAACAGATCCCCTACCTAGTGAAGTTAGAACAACATAGCCCATAAGTTTTTTAAGCTGAATATGTCCCACAAGTTAGAGAACTTACAGTGTATGAATCGGACATCAAAATGATCAAAATTATACGATTTTTTTCTAGAGACCGGAGACCTGTCAAGAAAACTGACACTAGAAACATGTAAAACAGTTTGCAGTTTAAATTGAGGGCGTCATTAATCTGTTCGAAAGTATTACTGATCAACACGCACCAATGCTGTAAGGGATCGTGTAAAAAATAACACAAGCTATAATGATGCACAAATATCAAGTAGGTTTCCTCAGAAAACTTATGGATACCCACTCATTTACATGGCGATACATGACAAATACTATAAAGGTTTAATAATGGAAATTAGGTAGAATGGAGATTTACATGTAATTCGTATGACATAGATTTACCAGTAAAATTAATGTTATTCGGTGTAATATTTAGGTAAAACTTATATACATGTAGCTACACTATGTATTTTGTCACTATTCCACGTTACCGAATGTAATACTGAGCTATAGGTATGTAATACCAAACAAACCTACGTAGTCTCTATTCCAGGTTACCCA